ATGATGTCTTCAAAGAATTTCAGTTTATTTCACAACACAATTTACACACACAATACAGGGGACAATATCACACGCGTATTGTACATGTTTATACGGCAGGCTGTGCTACAATTACCTCGGGTGGGCAGAAAATTACCCTTCATATTCACTCAGAGAAATGTATGGTTATATTGTCCTAATAGTAACCCACTTATTTACCCACAGGACGTAGCACTGATACACACTTTTGTTAGGCCAAACTGAGTCAGGATGACTCACGCAAGGGCAAAAAATATAACCCAGTACTCACTGCAGTGAGTGACAGAGAGCGCATTTTCTCGTCGACGAAAACGTGAAGTCACTGACAGACAGACGGACGGACAGGGCGAGCACAATAGTGCATTTTTTCCATAAATGAGAAAATGCGCTAAAAAATGCATCGAAATTTGGACACAGTCTCACTTATTTCTCTTGGTCTACATGTTGCGGGATCCCCAGAAAAAAAAGAATTTATATAATGATATAAATTAAAAAATAAAAAATAGATGCATACCAGGAGCATAAAAAACAAGATCTGCTTTGATGAGTTCAATGAGAGTGAACAAAGTAAATCATACAAGTAAATAGTTGCTATACTAAATGATTACATTATATAATAAGGTAAGCGTAATGAGGGATCAAATGAACAAATGGTAACGCCGAGACTGAAGAAATAATTACATATTTCGTTCGTCATATTTACAGCTTAATTCTATACGAAGAAGGCGGCATTAGCTCTCAGTAATCTATATCATTAAAGAACTTATTTTAGTCAAGAACATATTATTACAGAACCCATTTTAATATAGAACTTATAATAATCAAGAACCTATATTAATCAAGATTTTATAATAATCAAAATTTGCTTGAAGTTGTTATTACAGAATCTATATTATTACAGAACCTATATTATTATAGAACCTATATTAATAGAGAACTCATATTGATCAAGATTTTATGATAAACAAGAGTTGCTTGAAGTCATTATTACAGAATCTACATTATTATAGAACCTATATTAATATAGAACTTATATTAATCAAGAACTCATATTAATCAAGATTTTATAATAATCAAAATTTGCTTGAAGTTGTTATTACAGAATCTATATTATTATTACAGAACCTATATTAATATAGAACTTATATTAATCAAGATTTGACAATAATCAAGAGTTGCTTGAAATTGTAAGCAAGTAACCGACTAAAAACCTGTTAATCACTAGTGAAAATTATTCATTATATATTTTTGCGAAATTATGGGTTATGCTGCCTCGGGTTGACCAAGTAAATGGGTAAAAAAAGTATTTTTTTTTCTGGACATTGACTCACTAATTTCGGACTTTATCACACACTGAATTCAAATTCATGAAACACGAATAAAATTGGAACCATGGATATGACAAGCGCGGCAAATAAAGCTTACGCTCTAATTAAATTTAATGTTTTACATAAACAGCCTTTCAACTTCAACTTACATTATCACCTTACTTATATTGTACATGCTTCATAATTTCAATTGTCATGGTTCGTTACAGTTGCATGTGAAAAATTTCCCTAGTTATCGCTATTATTTATTAGCGAATAATAATTTTCGAATAAAAATAAGCAAAGTTCATGGAAATTTTGGAAAACCTAATTATCGTTCCCGTTTATTAGCGAAAAATAATTTTCGAAGTTCATGGAAATTTTGGAAAAGGCGTCATAAAAACTGGACCAGTATTGGCCAGGTGCACACAAACGCTACGATGCTATACGTTATATGGTCATCTTTCTCCGTATTATTCGCATTTTCATGTTTCTAAACATGTATATTCGTCTATATTTGTGTACAAGAATTCATACAAATTTTACACATTTGTATATATTTGTCGACAAGAACTCATACAAATATTTTTATATTTCTATAGATTTAGTTACAAAAATGTCTATTGGCAGGGGTATATATGATAGTTCTGATAATCTGGCATCACTTTTATCCCCATGAGAATATTTATCAGGAAAGTATTCAATATTACTCACTATTGTTCAATAATCTTCAATAATATTCAATATTATTCAATTTTATTCAATATTATTCAATAGTATTCAAGGACAGTTAGTTTTTAAGTATCATCAATAAGTAGTTGAGTGAGAACAATTTATTTATTTTACGTTTCATTAATAGTGAGAACCATTATTTTAATTAGTTGACGAGTTTCATTATTAAGTAGTTTAGCAGAAATGATTTATTGCTGCTTGGTGACCATAGATCATGGAACACAATTTACTTTCAAAAGCAAAACATGAATAATAACTTTAAAAAATCGAAAAAATATTCGTATTCTGTATTTTCACGACATGATACATATTACCGACGTAAATACGTCAATTTCCGCTATCGACCATCATAAAAAGTTTCAGGAAACTAAATTACCTGTGATCGGATATCATAAAATCAATTACCAAAGTCAATCTTAAACCAAATATTTCTTACAAATAAAATAAATACCAAATATGACAGAAAATAAGCATTGTTGGCCAAAATCGAGCCTTAAAATTTCAGTTTAGTTTCCATACTTCCAGACGGTCGACAAACGTAGAGGCGAAAAAATAAAGTTATTGAAAGGCAAAAAAGAAAAGTTATTGATATGCAAAAAAGAAAAGTTATTGAGGCAAAAAAGAAAAGTTATTGAGAGGCAAAAAAAAAATTTATTGAGAGGCGAAAAAGAAAAGTTATTGAGAGGCAAAAAAAAATAAAGTTATTGAGAGGCAAAAAAAAAAATTTATTGAGAGGCGAAAAAGAAGTTATTGAGAGGCGAAAAAGAAAAGTTATTGAGAGGCGAAAAAATAAATTTATTGAGAGGCAAAAAAGAAAAGTTATTGAGAGGCGAAAAAGAAAATAAATTACCACTTTTCCTTATAAACTTCTGATAGACATCAAAGTTAAGTAAGATACACACAAACAATCTCCCGAGAATGTATGACCGAGTTTCTCCTAGTAGGAAGTTCATGCAATTTCTACCAGAAATACAAAAATGCAATCAACATTAACAATATAAGAAAAATCATACTTTTAATGTCAAATCTGTATTTTTGGAAATAGCCTCCCGTTTTGTAAAAAAAATCCTGAAAATGTTGCCCAATCATTCTTTGTCAGTAACGAAAAGCTGACATCTTGCAATGCTAAATTACAATTAAAGTTCTGCTAGACTTCGAAATAAATATTTTACGCAATTGACTCCACGTGGAGCTAAAATGGATCAAGATTTTAGATTGGATCACGATTTTAAGTCCGAGGTCACGATTGTAGCGATTAAGATAATGAACGAATGCCCTGGGGCACTCGAACTAATGGAGACTAAACTGATCTAGATTGCGATCAAGATATCTCAACTATCCGTAATTTCAGGCGAAAACAATAGTGAACCGAAAAATCAAGATCATAATCTGAGAAACTAAGATCGATATCTAGGCAACCAAGATCATGATATAGACAACTAAGATCGTGATCTAGACAACCAAGATCGTGATGTAGGCAACCAAGATCGTGATCTAGACAACCAAGATCGTGATCTAGGACAACCAAGATCGTGATCTACAACCAAGATCGAGATCTAGGCAACCAATATCGAGATCTAGGCAACCAAGATCGTGATCTAGGTAACCAAGCTCGCAATCTAGACAACCAAGATCGTGATCTAGACAACCAAGATCGTGATCTAGACAACCAAGATCGAGATCTAGGCAACCAATATCGAGATCTAGGCAACCAAGATCGTGATCTAGGTAAGCAAGCTCGCAATCTAGACAACCAAGATCGTGATCTGGACAACAAAGATAGTGATCTAGGCAACCAAGATCGTGATCTAGGCAACCAAGATCACATCTAGGCAACCAAGCTCGCAATCTAGACAACCAAGATCGTGATCTGGACAACAAAGATTGTGATCTAGGCAACCCAGATCGTGATCTAGACAACCAAGATCATGATCTAGGCAACCAAGATCGTGATCTAGGCAACCAAGATCGTGATCTAGACAACCAAGATCGCGATCTAGACAACCAAGATCGTGATCTGGACAACCAAGATCGCGATCTAGACAACCAGACGAACATTTTCAAGGCCAGTTACCTACTACATAACGTGATCGAAACCAGCAAAAGGTAATATTAAGTTATGAACATGCAGCTTAACAATACAACATCTCAGGGTTAACTACAACATATTAATTAACATTCATTTTAACTATACAACATTTCAGGGGTGACGCGAAACGATTTTATGTTCTGCATCAAATTGTGATTCTACGGTGCGCAAAATAACATGTTCCAAACCTATTAAAAAATTACGGCACCTAATAGAAAAATCCAGAATGGGTACATATTTAAATTTTACACATCATTTTGACTAAAAATAAATTAATTAATGGAAAAAGGTCATCATCGTTAGCGGCAGGCTGCTTGGAAGCAATTAGAACTATACATTTATTATATATTATTTATACATGAGAGCACTGAAACTATGATGTCACTAACTTCGGAATTCGGATCATGAAAATACAGAGAGAATAAAAGAAATGTTAACACATAAGAAAAATAAAATGCTAACGAGTTTTAAAACTTGTAACCAATTACACAGCCGACGACACCTCACACTGACAACTTACTTCTCAATCATTAAACGCGACGCAAACGTAAGTCATTTGCTACTATAATATTCCTACCACAAATATAACTCAGTCATTTACCAAGACAAAGAACCAAATAATTATTTATTCATCTCTACATAATAACTTAACCCACAACTGAGACCTGCAGTCAGACACCGCGAGCTCAGCGGTGGGGCGCTCAGGAACAATCCCCCTAGGAGCGCGAAATCCCATAGGACTTCTGACGAGCACAGACACGCGTCAGAAGTCCACCCTGAGGGGATGATGAATGCTCCTGCTACACGCTAGCACCTAAACGAGAGCACTGCCTAGATGTAAGCACCTAGACGCCCTAGTAGCACCCACCTCGCTCCTCAGGCGTGAGGTCCTCATCAGAGTCCTCCTCTATAGGCGGCGGTGTGATCATGGACCGGGGAGGCTGGCCGCATCCTTCTTCTATGCTGCAAAGTGAAATATTGAGTATTTCTCTGCTTATGCTTTGCATTATTGGTATAGTAATGTGCATTATGACTAAATTACAAACCAGTTAAAATCTTGTGCACAAATATTAGTACACGTATTTATCTTGTGCAAAAATATTACAAATATTTATCTCTTGCACAAATATTAAGTATTTCTCTGCTTATGCTTTGCATTATTGGTAGAGCAATGTGCATTATGATTACATTTTAAATCATTTTAAATCTCAGTGCAGAAATGTATAAAAATATTATTATCTTGTTTTTAAAAAATTAAAAATAAAATCCATAAATTTTAAAATTTTCCATGTAGAAAGAGTAGGTAAATCAAAGTAGATGAATTTATTATATGTAGTTACTATGATAAATGAGTTAAGTCTATTTACAATCAAACATCGAATTTCATGAGAAAATTACTCACTTTAATTTGATTTCATTGCCGGACGTTTCTGAGCTACACTACAAAGATATTGCCACCTCCTACCTCCCAAGACGACTTTCATCAAAATGCTTTTATTAAAATTATTAGGCATATTAGTGGACGATGGAATAATTGACATTGTATAATTGGTGATTTATTCATGATAATGTATAATGTAGCCTCAAACTGTGGGGCTGCAGTGCATATATTTTTGAGGTGACGTGTAGTGAACATTTAAGGTAACTCGCCCACTAAAGTGTTCAACAACCCATGGTGGATAGTCTTTAAATTGTGAAGTCTATAAATGAGGTACCCTATACCAGTACTTAATTTTATGAATAATATTTTCAATTTTATGGAATAGTAATGTTTGAATCCTTCAAGAAAATAAACTCAACTTACAACTGATTTCCACAGTGTGTTTCAGTCCTGCTTAATCGTATACTTTTGTTCAAAATAGCACCAAGGTTTCAAAATATTACCTCAAAAGCCACTTGAAATCAAGAAAAATTGTTCAATCAGTTATTAATACCATAGTAATCATATACATAAATTTAAAAATATAAGTTACATCACATATAGGCACAAGTAATTACTAACACAAATTATTCATGCCACAATCATCAGAATCTTCAAGCCAATTTTTTTCATTTATTCATAAGTCAACATATGTCATAGATTCAACATTTCACTCACCATTGAGCTAGAATGCTGGGATCAAGCCCATCTAATTCATCTCCTGAGCCTGACATGTCTCTGTCCTTGAAGTTGTATGGGGTTTTGGGTTCTTCTATTTTCATGTGGCCATAATCTTTGTCTGCGGGATGCAACGTTGCAAGTATGTTCATCTCATCCCATTTGGTGCTTGCTGCCTTGTGTCTGTCAAAATAAATTATAATGCTACTTTAGGAACAGAAGAGGCCATGTCTCGTTTTTTAAGTTTTATGGTTTATAAACAAACATACGGTAAATAATAAATTTATATAAAAAACATAAATTGGGAATGAGACAAGTGGTATTGAGTCTAATGGCTGGTGCTGATTTCAAATCAATATTGCAATAAATACCATATTTACATTTCAATTTCTAATATTTGCAAATAATTAAAGAAATTTTAGTTAGATAAGTATTGCTTAATAATGGAAGGAATTTGAGTTAGATACTGTATTGCTTAATAATTGGAGATATTTCATTTAAATATTACTTATTAATTAGAGAAATTTCAGTTAGATAGGTACCTATCACTTAATAATTAGAGAAATTTGGTTGTACAAGTAAAATAGTTGTATTCATTACCTATATTTCTGTAATTTTGCACACATTATATGTATTAGCTTGAATTTTTCTGGAAAAATTACTGGACCAACATTGCTCAAAGCCCCCATAGGAATAGCACACAATTATCAGTAACCTAACACAACATGTGAAATTTAAATAAAAATAAATTTAGCCCATGACTAACATTATAAAACAAAAATATTACAATATAACAAAGAAGTTAATATCAGTTATACATATAGGTATATGGTATTTCTACATGGAAAAAAATGAACATACTCTCTTCTCTCGGTGCTTTCAAAACTGGATGAGTTCTTCAGAATACTTTTCCTTGGCTGTTTCTTGAGGTTTTCAGCCATGTTTAATCTGAAAATGACAAAGTTTTGAATAATACATAACAATATGCCAAGTTCATAACTTAGAATGACAATAGCAAAGAAATCTCTCAAAGAATATCCTCAAAACTGAATAAATTTTCTATTTGGGACTTGGTACACATCAAGTCTAATTAGGCGCAGAAATTCTTTGTTGGTGATGACAGTGAGAGAATTAATTGAATTGTAATACCGGTATGTGCTATCAAAGTTGCTCACAGTTGGAAAGTTAGTTTTCAAGACAATGTGGTGCAAAAAGTCTGATATATACTTAGGATAGCACTTGACATGAATGTGTTAGAACTTGACATGAATGTGTTAGAACTTGACATGAATGCATTAGAACTAGACATGAATGTGTTAGAACTTGACATGAATGTGTTAGAACTTGACATGAATGTGTTAGAACTTGACATGTGTTAGAACTTGATATGAATGAGTTAGAACTAGACATGAATGTGTTAAAACTTGACATGAATGTGTTAAAACTTGACATGAATGTGTTAAAACTTGACATGAATGTGTTAGAACTAGACACGAATGTGTTAAAACTAGATATGAATGAGTTAAAACTAGACATGAATGTGTTAAAACTAGACATGAATGTGTTAGAACTAGACATGAATGTGTTAGAACTTGACATGAATGTGTTTGAACTAGACATGAATGTGTTAAAACTTGATGTGAATTTGTTAGAATTTGACATAAATGTTAGAACTTGACATTTTGTTACAAGAAAAAGTGGTGTGTAGCTGGCAGAAAACCTTGTGGAGCATTAACAAAATTTCACAAAAAGGCTCATATAAATAAAATAATATTAAAAGGTAAAATATAAATAATACCATAAAAGGTAAAATAAAATAATATTATCATAGGTAAAATATTAACAAAACAACAAGTTACTTACCAGGTCAACCTTAGTTAACAGGCTCATGAAAGAATGGTTTTCTGAAATCAGGCACATAAGGTAATATCAAGGCAAGCTTGAAAATATACAAGTACTTAGTTTACAAAGTAAGAAATTCAGGCATTGCAACTAATATAAATAATCTGTTCATTGGTGTTCAACATTAAAACTTGCAATAATGGTGGAGGTCATTCAATTTCCAGCAGAGTAGCTCAGTCTCAGAGTTAGTAAAGTCTTTAATATTTTTAATCCAGATATAGAGTACTGAGCAGTCTGAACTTGAGTTTTTGATGACATATGTATGCAATGCAAGAGAAAATAAGACAGTGCAGTTAAGTATTGTTTTACAAGTGAGAAGTGACCCACTTTAGCTGAAGAATTAATTTTTCCTCTCACTCTGATGGATAATGGATCCATGATGATATCAAGTAGGGAAATTCTAATCTTGGGACATTGGTCAGTGCCTGGACGGAACTGGAATTTTCTAACATATGAATGAAATCTTGTCGCTCCAAACAGGCCTAAAATAATATCTACCCTTCCAAAGGCAATCACAGTTTTCCTGCAATTTTTGGAGCCATGAAATTCCTGCTAGGTGAATTACCTCCTAAGTTCTCTTGTGAATCCTAATTGGCCAGCATGGTGGGATTAAGGAATTTCAGGACCTGTTTGGTCATTTAGCTACACCAGGAAGACCAGGGCTGGAAAAGTCCTATTTTTTCCAAAATATTACGGCTCTAATATTATATAATTTCAGTATGTATGAAATCTTGCAGTTAGAATGTCATAACTTTTTGTTTGATTAAAGAATTACGGTTCGCACTTCGCAAACATGTCATTTCATAAAATTTTCAACTTTCGCAATCTGCATTGCTCTACCGTTCTTGCCAAAATATCCTGCAAAACATTGAAGAGGAGTATATTGCTCCTCTTGCTTAATCTTAGATTATTAGGTTCTTACTTTTCATTCCTGGCACTTTGGTGTATTGCTTACTTTAGGTTATGCTTCCTAATATGGTTTGCTCTTTCCATCTAATTTAGGGCTTTTGTAACTTATTATTAATTAATGAACGCTTCCTTCCTTTGTATTTTTTTTAGATGTTGTTGTCCTCCATCAATAAATTACTAGTTAGAGCATGCAACTTGATGCAATGTCTGAAAAGTTCAATTGCTTCTGCCTTATCATCATGTTTGAAGTGTAGCATGCACCATTAAAAGTTTCAGTTAAGTTTAGTAAGCACACCACTTCTCACGCTTAGAGTGATCCTTGTCTGCACCTAATTGCTTGCCCCACCTGCACCCATTGCCTGAAGATCATTTAAACTGGAAATCATTGTTGACCCATTCCTGCTTGCTGAGCAACGTAGCTGCTCCTTAAGGGTGAGTTGCTAAGACTTGATCAGCTCAAGCATTAGTATACCTGTCCATTTCAATCTCATGCAATTAATTTACTGCAATAAATCTTGCTCATTACTTTGTTACCTGTTTAATGTCACCTTGTTCCTGTTTTGAATTGCTTATTCACTTACCTGATTGCTTTTACATTGAATTTGAATCATTACCGCTATTAGATCTCATATCAAGTGTTTACCTTGCCATACTGTACCTACTTTCTTTTCTTGTCTTGCTATGTTGCTTGGACATTTGTCCTGTGTTTGTTGCTGATTTATGCATTATTGCTTGTTTAAGTCCCAACCAAAATACTCCTAATTTGAGGTACACATCCCCTTTAACTGCCCTTAAAATCCATAGACTCTAGTCCCGTTATTTTGTTAACTTAATAGGAGCAGTTGGTGTGGGACCCAGCTGGCACGCTGTTGAGGAGACCTGGAGCCCAGACTTGCCCAGTCTTGACCTTCCTGTCCTGAGTCTTCTCACCTTCCAAACTGCAGCTCCTTGAAGATCACCTTGCTGAAGCTCATTGTTCAAATGTCAACCTAGGATTTGTTTTCATTACTCAACTAACTGAGCTAGCTGCATATTAGTCCTGTTCATGAGCAATTCTGCAGCCACTTCATTCGGATACTGGTTTAAACTTCATACTGGTTTAAACCCCTATTTGCAAGTCACTAGGAATGCCTGCCTGATGTCAACTCTTTTAGGTACAATGGGGCTTTGACTTTCAGACCACCAGGGATTTAGTTAACCAGTTGTGCAACCCACGAGTGATAAAATTGTCTTGATCTAATTATTGGTAGGTAGTGTTAGTAGATGAGTCCTTTATATGTGTGCCATTATTAGCACCTGTCACCTTCAATTTCAGTATGTATTGCAGACTAGGATGAGACATTGATACCATCAAATGGGGTAATAAAAGATGGTTTTGAGCATTTTTTTGTTAATAACTTTTCACCATGAAACATTTCTTAAACAAGTTTGGACTGATTTTAAAAGTCTTTGGGAGGGCTATCGTAGGGCATCTCCAAAAAATTCCATATGCTACTTGTAAGGTGCGAGACGCAATATAAAAGACTCCTGAATTAATCTGGAAATAAGGTTATAAGGGACACTTGAAATAAAACTAATGTTGAATGTTTGAAGCATGCAGAGTGTATTCATCTATTACTAACAGTACTCTGAAGTCCTCCTCTTCCTTTGTAGATGATGTAAATTGGGAATAAATGACATTTTCTGTTACTTTTACTTGTTTTTTCTTTATTGATATAATATTACCTTATTCATACATTACCGTATTATTAATGTGATATTACTGTATCCATGGACATGTCATTGAGCATTGACAATGACCTTGTCTACTGCAAGCTTCATATCAGCAGCCATGTAGCATTTCTTCTGTATCCTTAAGCTTACAGGATGGTTTGTAATTTTGCACAATTTTAATTGAGTCAAGTGATTTCACTATAACAAAAAAGATCGTGAAAAACATACCTGAAACAGAAAATAATGTTTTAGTAACAACCATCATATGTTTTGGAGAAATAAATCATAGTTTAGGTCAATTACTTTTCATTCTATGATGCCCGGTGCACAATTCTATATATAGCATTCTATGTACAATTTTGTGACAACCGTTGATGCACTAACTTTTCGATAAGTGAATTTTTTTCGCTGAGCGAGGTAAATGCAATCAAAATTCTTTGTTGTTAATCAACTTTTTTGTTAACTGGAACCTTAGCTAACTGAGGTTCTACTGTAAATGCATTTTTAAGGGTGTCCCTAATTAACCCGAGGGGGGGGGGGTGTCCCGAGTAGCCCCGCCATGTGGAAATGGCTGCCATTTCTTTTTGGAATGAGATAGGCAAATTCTGTCAATTACGTTTTCAAGTCGACACCTGGGTGCAACTTTTATGTAAGTAAAATTTTTTAATACGGTGAATATTTTTTTTTGTTCTAGACCTTAGCAGAGGTACTTTTTCCAAAATCGCACTTTTTGTACTTTTTTTCAGCAATTTTTCAAAGTTAGTAAATGTTTTATTTCTTGACTAGCTTTATACATAATAGATAGGTAGTAAAAATGTTGAAGTTTACACCACTATTTTTAGTTTTACAATATTTTGATTAGTTTAGCTGCTACAACATTTCTACGAAATGTCGGAGGCGCATCCCAATTTACCCCGCCCGTCCTTTTTTACCCCGTTTGACGGTACTAGAAATGTTGAACTTACGCCACTATTCTCAGTTTTGCAATATTTTATTTAGTTTTGCTACTAAAACATTTCTATAAAATGTTGTAGGACTGTCCCTTATTACCCCATTTGATGGTACTATTGGTGCTCGTTTTCTGTATTTCACTAGTCAGTGACCATATTCAGCCATGGCTCTGTTTTAATATGTTTATTCAGCCAGAGACTTTCTTGCAGTTAGCTAGCAAACCTTATTGATAGATTAGTCTTGTGACCAAGTTGAATAAGAGCCTTAACCCTTTACCGCCAAATTGGACTTTCAAGTCGCCTTTAAAAAAACTGGTTTTCTAATAATTTCACGTTTTCTTTATTTTTTTGGAAAAATTCACACCAACAAAAAAAAGTCTTAAGAATAATTTTTTACATATGTGTACATACCAAGTTTCAAAGTTATCTGTCTGTAAATAACAAATAAAATGTCCAATTTCTTGTGGAAACTTTATTTTGGTTATTTACAGACGGACTGCTTTGAAACTTGGTACACATATGTAAATGATAAATCTAAGACTTTTTTGTTTGTGTGAATTTTTTGAAAAAATGAAAGAAAACATGAAATTCTTAGAAAACAGCCAAAAAGGGGGTACTGTAGAAATCTATCTTCTCCTAGGATTTCCAAGCTACAACATTGAGACGCATATCATTTTATGCATAAGGACCATAGGTATCTATTGATTGGTCCTTGCTGTTTTCCAAAATTCTAATTTTTGTGGGTGGGGTGGACATTTTCCAAATAAATTGTGATTTCCCCCCACACACTTTCGAATACCCCCTCCCTTTTTTCAAAACATTTTCAAAACTATAACAAAATTGAAAAAAAGCTACAACTAATCTCTAGATCTTTTATATGCAAATCAAACAGTATATCTCTCATTGCTGTAGCTTAAAAACTCTGAGGAGATAGGTTTGCAGTGACAATAAGTGTGAATGTTCAGTAGAGCGTGGCAAAGTCCCAAGGGCCTTGAAATAGGCATTCAAGGTGGCATGGATACAAGACTAGATGTTACTGGAGCTGAAATTCAGTCAAGGATGGTGGAAACGACTGCATGAGCACCATCCCACACGACAGCAGCCGGGTAACTAAAGATCAGCATCTTCAGGTTGTCTATTTATGTGCCTGCCTGGTAATTTCTGCCCATCTTAAATGTGAAGAACTCCCCAACCACTAACCCTTTCGCGAACTGTCATCAAGGCATAAATCAACATACAGAGATGATTTTGATACCGTTGGATAGGTCAGAATGTCAGCTTTAATGTGAGACTAAAAACCAGAAAAGTGAAATTTGCAATTTTTGACCCAGAAATTTGGGTGGTAAAGGGTTAATCATCATTATTATTATTTAGCCAATGTAACCCATGTTTCATGTCCTATTGCTAATGTCTAGGTTTCTTTAACTCCCTTGGAGACATACGGTAATGAGTGTCCTGACAGTCCTTGTCTCTCTTGGGGTTCCTGGTTCCTGCTACCCAGTACAGTATCACCTGTGGTCAGTAACCTTCTGTGGAACCTTTCTACCAGACTGGTGAGTACTTGGGGTGTTGTTGTGAGGGGGAGTGCTTGGG